TCTGCCCCAGGACCGATGGGGGGGTCTGTGCCCCAGGACCGATGGGGGGGTCTCTGCCCCAGGACCGATGGGGGGGTCTGTGCCCCAGGACTGATGGGGGGGTCTCTGCTCCAGGCTCCGCCCTCCTGCTGGCTGCTTCCCTCGGCAGGGTTTTCCCGGGGGGTCATGGGGACACCACTGGTGCTTCTCAGCTCAGGTGTCACTGGCCGCCGGCCTCGGCTTCTGGGAAGTCCCGGGCCGGCTCCCTGGCCTGCTCGGTCACATGCCCGTCACTGAGGCCAGCAGTGCCCTGTGCTCCCGCCCGGCCCCGGGACTGGCTTGTGCCCAGAGCCCTGGCCCCCTGAGCCAACACTGTCCCCGATCTCAGAGGGGCTCCCAGCAGGTGGCCCTGATGCCCTCGGGGCCTTGGAAGAGCCCAGTGGCCAGGGCCAGGGTCAGGGTCAGGGTCAGGGTCAGGGTCGTGGCGGTTGGAGGCCGTCCGGGCAGCCACAGTCCCCGCTGTGCACTCGGCGAGTGAGGTGTCCCTTTACCCCTCGGACCCGCTGTGGCCGGCGCTGCCCAGACCTGCTGCGCCCACACAGGAGGCGGAGGGAGCCTGGCTTTAGCTGCTGTGACCACACAGGCAGCAGAGCTGTGACTTCCGGGGCTGCACCTGTCACCGCCTCCTCGGCCCTGGGTGGAGTCAGGTGACCGGCAGGGCCTGCCTGGGCTGGACCCTGCTCAGGCCCCAGCTCGCCTCCGCTGCCTCCGCAGCTGCTCTCTTGGCGTTGGGGGTGGTGGCGTGCGGGTGGGGGGACCGTGCCGTCTGCGAGCCCCAGGGGTCACTCTGGCCTGAGGAGCGCTGCCTGGCCCGGACTCCGCTGCCTCACTGACCACTGGGACAGAGGGAAGGGAACACCCGGGTGCGCTCGCGTCCCCCAGTGGCACCTGGCACTGGAAGGAAGTTCTACTTCGTTCCAAACAGAACCCAGAGCCTCTTCCCGGAAGCGAAGTCAGTGGCGGCAAAGTCACGGAGCCCCGTCAGGGCTGAGGCTGGGGCAGCCGCTGTCGGGGCAGCCCGGCAGGGTGCCCGCTG